GCACAGCATCCACAAAAGTGGGCTAAAAAAAGGAATTACAGGTGTTGCCACCACTCCCAGCCTCCGTAAACAATTTCTGCCTGACCACCACCACGAAGGTGTTCCTGTCCACTCAGGATCTTATGTTCAGTACTGGCTCAGCACAGTCTGCAGCCCTAAACATCCATTTCATAACGAACAGTGCTCAGGTCCCAAAGAATGTCTCATTTCTGCGGGTGCAGTGGCTCACGCCTGTAATCCCAGCACTTTGGGAGGCCGAGGCGGGGAGATCACCTGAGGTTGGAAGTGACATTTAACTTGGCTCTTGGGAATATCTTTGGAGAGAAAAAAGGCATTCCAGGTGGGATGAACCGGGAGTGAAGGCAGAAGTGCAGCATGTATGGAGCCCTCTGAGGATTCGGGATTGGCAAGTATGTCTTAGGCAACAATGGATTCGACTGAAAAGCCAAGTGAGATTCAGAGTTGAGGTCTCCCAGAGCTTGCTTTCTCCCTGGCCAGGAGCTGAAAGTGAACTTCCTAGCCTGGGGTGAAGCTGTCCTCTCAGGTGTTGGTCCAGACCTAGATTCAAACTCTGCCTTGCCCAGAGACCTGTGTGCTCTTTCACCTGTCACTCCTGACCCTGAGGTGAGACAATAGCCTCTAAGCGAGGACACTTGGCATGCACCAGTATAGATGTGTTGCTGAATGTAGAGGTACTTGGCAGTGGTTCCTTGGTCTTTTGAATGACAAATTTCTTTCAACCTCTGGTCAAAGGCTCTATGGAGTGTCTCCATAAAAATGCCTAGGTGTTAAGTTTTGCATGCATTTTCGGATAGTGCATTATATTCCTGACACCTGCAGCTCCGAGGCTGAGAACTGCATAGGTGCTGAGATCCCTTTTACTATGACCCAAAACCATCTAGGCAGGAATGGGTGATCCAGATGCTATCACCCTCTTCCCACTCCGGGGGTCTCTGCCTGTCAGCAGCAGCAGCATGCTGGGAGGAAGGTAGGATCACCCCACAGAAATACTTGGCTCTGAGCCAAGACATCCTGCCAGCAGGAACCTAAATTGTCTTCAGACCTTCAAATCCTGGGGTCTAGTCCCACACCAAGCAGGCCTGGGTCACAAAGCCACTTACAGGATCTGAGGAACAGGGGGTAAGGCCATCTGCTTCCTTGCCATGTGTTAAATCCATCAACTACACCACCCCTCTCTATCGTATTTCTCCCACTCCTGACCACTTCAAAGGACATAGGATCCCCACAAAATGGTGACAACAAATGGAGCCATTTTCATATCCTATTTTAAGTGTCCAGAAAGAAATCGACTATTCACTCAATCAACATGTAAGTGACTGAGGCATCCCTACACGCCAAACTAAGTTTTCCCAAAGGCCCAGGCTTAGAACTGATTCTGGCCCTGAGTCTGGAATCACAGGGAACACACAATATGAACTATCTGCCAAAAGGGCAGACATGAAAGTAGACACGACCCTCCTCTTCTAAGCTCTCATGCGCCTCTCAGAACCTGAAGCCTAACACGTGAAATGTGGCAAACAGCGAGGCACAGTGGCAGGCGCCTGTATTCCCAAATCCACAAGAGGCTGAGTGGGGAGGACTGTTTGGGGCCAGGAAGCCAAGGCTGTAGTGTGTTATGACCACACTTGTGAATAGCCACTGCACTCCAGCCTGGGCACCGAAGTGAAACCCTCTCTTTTTTCTTGAGACAGAGTTTTGCTCGTTGCCCAGGCTGGAGTGCAATGGCACGATCTCAGCTCACTGCAACCTCCGCCTCCTGGGAGGCTGCAGGCTAGGGACCAGAGACATAATGGTTAAACAAGTCACAGCCCTGTGATCCTAGAGATTACAACCCTGGCATAAGACAATCCTTCTGGACTCACTGTCCCCAGGCCTGTGACTGTCACGTGCCAAGTACACTTTACACAATCTCATTTTTCCCTCAACTCGGGGATGGGTTTTGCATCATTCCCATTACAGATAAGGATGTTGAGGCTATTGAGTGGAAGAAGAAACCTGAGTTCTGGTGCTGGACTTCAAAACTCATGTGAATTACTCAACAGCCTCCCAAACATCAGAGGCCCCAAACACACCTCTCAACTCACTTCTCACAAATAGGGGCCTTATCTGCCCCATCTCTAGGGCCCTTCTGTAACATTTGTAGCTATTTCCCACGTATTACAAAGGTAGGCCCTCCTTTCAGGAAGTTCATCCGCGCCCCTTCCTAAGGTAGCTTCTCTCCCCGCTTGGCACACCACCTGGGTAGCCAAGGGCAGAGCAGAGACTGGGGGACACGCCCCAGTACCGGGTCAGCACCAACTACCCCGTCAGTGATCACCAGTGCCCACCACTTCAATGGGCACCTCCAAGTGGCACCGGATCCTCTTGGAACAATTCCTAAGGCCGGGCGCGGTGGTTCACGCCTGTAATCCCAGCACTTTGGGAGGCCGAGGCAGGTGGATCACTTGAGATCAGGAGTTCGAGACCAGCCTGGCCAACATGGTGAAACCCGTCTCTACTAAAAACACAAAAATTAACCAGACATGGTGGCGCACACCTGTAATCCCAGCTACTCGGGAGGCTGAGGCACAAGAACTACTTGAACCTGGGAAGCGGAGGTTGCAGTGAGCCAAGATCATGCACTGTACTCCAGCCTGTGTGACAGAGTGACTGTCTTAAAAAAAAAAAAAAAAATTCCTCTCAAGTATTTCTTACAGTGGTCAGTGACAAAAGCAAGATCTAAAATCCTATCTACAGAATAATCCTAGCCAGGCAAAATAAACTCATTAAAAACTAACAGAAAATACTGAAATACAGGCCAGGTGTGGTGGCTCATGGCTGTAATCCCAGCACCTTGGGAGGCCAAGGTGGGTTGATCGCGTAAGGCCAAGAGTTCAAGACTAGCCTGGGCAACACGGCGCCACCCCATCTCTATTAAAATATAAAAATTAGCCAGGTGTGGCGACACACACCTGTAATCCCAGGCTTCTCAGGCGGCTGAGACAAGACAATTACTTGAACCCAGGAGGTGAAAACTGCAGTGAGCCAGGATCGCACCACTGTACTCCTGCCTGAGCGACAGAGTAAGACTCTGTCTCAAAAAAAAAAAATGAAATGTAACTAAAATATTTAGTGTCAAATACCTGGTTTTGGTAGACAGCAGGGGTGACTGTTTTCTTATGCATATTGGTTTCATAAGAACTTTTTCCCTTGGCTGTATTAGTCACTTTGGGTAATCGCATTCACCAATAAACGAAGCAACGGCATGCTGCCGCAGACGCTCCGGCTACACTGCTGTGAAGGCTCAAAACGACCAAGTGGAAGCACCAGAGTCCATGAGGCATTTTATTTGTAAATGTATGTATTACATCCCTAGAAAAAGAATCCCAGGATTTTCCCTCCTGTGTGTTTTCGTCTTGCTTCTTCATGGTCCATGATGCCAGCTGAGGTTGTCAGTACAATGAAACTATGGAGTGGAAAAAGAAAATGCTGGTAAGTTTAATAGTTCAACATAGTGCCTTCTAGTGCAGAAAAGCATCAACACTCATTAGTGGTTAAGGGTGCTTTCCTGTGGAGCACACAGAACTGACAGTGCCACTGCTGGTGCCTCATGTAGCATATGAGCATGACTCCTGCAACCAACAGAGCCAAATCCAGAGAGCGGAGCCACACAATCACACAGCCCTGACATCTGCCTCACACAGCCCTGACTTCTGCCTCACACAGCCCTGACTTCTGCCTACACCACGAAACAAACTTGACTGAAAACAAAGGCATCTAGAAACTCCTTTAACTTCAAATGTCACTTTCTGCTCTCAGGTAAGGAGACTTGAAAGTATTCACATAAACTTGAGTTTGAATTGTGTTTCTGCCATGCACCGTATAACTATTACATGGAGACATGTTCATGTGTACAGTGAGTGGCTGCTTCATTAGCTACTGTGGGGATCACTGTAACAAGCATACAGTATGCAAATGTGCGGCATTAAAATCAGTTATCATAATTACAAAGAGAAATGATTTTCGTAAGAGAATGCTGTACCTGTCATACAGCAACCATGAAGTGAGAATACATTCAACCAAGGCACCAGACGTGTAATTTGGAGGACATAAATTCTTAACCACAAAGATACACATTTACTGTGTCAGCTCATAAAGCGTTTTACCAAAATTAAATCAGGTGATAAACAAAGGACTATTACCACTTTTACAGATGAAGAAATCAAGGCTATGACTTGCCCAAGATCTCATGGCTTTAAAGCAGAAAAACAAGGATTTGAACTCAGACAGGCTCTTAAGGACAAAGATTCCCAAACGAAGTTTTCCCAAAGGCCCAGGCTTAGAACTGATTCTGGCCGAGTCTGGGATCACAGGGAACACACAATATGAACTATCTGCCAAAAGGGCAGACATGAATCACACCCCTCCTCTTCTGCCAGTCTAAGCTCTCACGCGCCTCTCAGAACCTGAAGCCTAACACGTGAAATGTGGCAAACAGCCAGGCACGGTGGCGGGCGCCTGTATTCCCAAATCCATAAGGGGCTGAGTGGGGAGGACTGCTTGGGGCCAGGAAGCCAAGGCTATAGTGCGTTATGACCACACTTGTGAATAGCCACTGCACTCCAGCCCGGGCAACAAAGTGAAACCCTGTCCCTCTTTTTTCTTGAGACAGAATTTCGCTCTTATTGGCCAGGCTGGAGTGCAATGGCATGATCTCAGCTCACTGCAACGTCCGCCTTCTGGGTTCAAGCAATTCTCCTGCCTCAGGCTCCCGAGTAGCCGGGATCACAGGCGTGCGCCACCAGGCCTGGCTAATTTTGTATTTTAGGTAGAGACGGGGTTTCTCCATGTTGGTCAGGCTGGTCTCGAACTCCCAACCTCAGGTGATCCACCCGCCTTGGCCTCCCAAAGTGCTAGGATCACAGGTGTGAGCCACTGCGCCTGACCAACCCTGTCTCTATTTAAAGAGAAAAAAAAGAAATATGGGTAACACTTGAGGTAATTATTAGGTCAAAATGGTTGAGAGTAGACAAATTTAAAAAGGAAAAAAAAAAAACAAAAAAAACCTCAAGTCAAACTGCACCACAGCAATTCTTAAGCACTAACTTCTTTTAATTAAGGAAAGGCCAACTTACCCAAACTGGCGGGATGGAAGCAGGTTATTCTGCCATTTTTCTAGATCTTTGAGTTGCACATCAAATCTGGGGCTGATCACTCCACACTATAAAATAAAAACAACAACAAAAAAAGTCTTCACTTTACCAATGAAGAGAAAAACTGAGTAACACAAGCTGACATTGATAAACGAACAGTCCTCCAAACCAACCAAACCAGCATTCAGATGGGTACCTATTCTGTGCACAATTCTTGACATACTTTTCAAAAAATACACTTAAGTAAGACTATGCCCGCCTACGAGGCCCACCACGTGCCTAGAAAAAGCAAAGACATGAAAAGAAATGGCACAAGGCAATACATGGCAGTGTCCAGCCACTGGCGTGCTCCCTGTTGGCTAGAGAACTGTCCAGAATGATCAGATTTTACATAGCCAAGAGATCAAGTCTTGACAAGACAGACTATAGCCAACCCTTTCTTATATAGTAAGGCTGAAATAAAATCGTAGGGTCTCAAATCCTGAAGCTCATAAGCTAAAAACTACAAATTATTAGAATATCTAAGGAACACGTTGCACCGGCAGCGAACTAAGAACACTGCTCCCACCAATGAAGTACCATTACATGTTTCCTAGAAACAATGTCCTACATCCCCAGGCAAATTTTTCCAAATGAACGTGACAGAATGATGGAAGGCAGAAAGAGCAAAGGGCTTGCAATTATCTCATCTCGTGGCTACCAGGACACGGCAACAATGATCCTCCCAAGTACGAGCTCACCAAGGGCTGTCATCCCTCAACTACATGCCAGCCCTAAAACACTACTGAAGAAAGTCCACCAACTGATGTCCACTAACTGAAGACCCTCTGCTCACAAAATCTGCTCTAAAATCACAGGCACACTTGAAAAACACTTCCAAAAGCAGAGACTGACCCACAGAAACTGAAAATGGGCTTGTCAGAAAGGCCTAACTGCATTACGCTCAGGAAGCCTGCTTAAGTTCTCCTACTATTACCCCATCAGCTATGCTGTGACTTGACTAACAACGCCAATCTCACAGCAGATGAAAGAAATGCAGGGACAGAAATATGGGGAAACTAGTTTAGTCCAAGCAAACTGTAGTGAAAGATCTTCCCCAAAGTCTGCCGCACTCTGCATCCAAGTTTTTATGTTGATTCCAGCAGCAAAAATCCTTCTCATTGTGGTAGAATTAAAACAGCATACCCTCTCCCAACTAAGAAGAATCCTAAGAGGATGTGATCAAGCCCAGAATGTTAATCAATCTAGTCTTTACACACTATCTTACTTCCAAGCTCAATTTCCACGCTAAGGGTAGGTCAATGTCTTGCATGAAAGTGATGGAGGGGGACATTCTCTTATAAATGGGGAGAAATGAAATTCCAAGAAACCAAAAATTGTTTACTTTGCCGAAAG